GGCTTTGCTGGGACGCAGACTGTGTTGGGAAGGGGGCTGCAGTTGTAGGATTTGGCTTTGCTGGGATGCAGGCTGTGTTGGGAAGGGGGCTGCAGGTGTAGGATTTGGCTTTGCTGGGGATCTCTCTGTGCCTGCATGAAGTGGCCCTTGGTTTAGCTGCAGTTTTGGGGTTGCTGGGGTCTGTGCACTGATTTCCAGGGACAATAATGAGCTCAGAGTGCACTGAAACCAGTGGACATCAGGTCCCACTTTGGACCACCCTCRCCACAGTGAGTTGTTTGCTCAAGTTTTGGCAAAGTGTTTCATGGTGAGTGAGTCCCACAAGGATTTGATGGGAGAGGGCTGTGATGGTACAGGTGAGAGGATGCTCTGTCACCCACTGTGGTGTCTGGCATTAACCCCATGGAATGGTGATGGYTTATGGAGCCAGAGGAGTCCCAGGAGATGTGAGTCAGCATGCTGGCCTTTTCTCCCTCGCTCTGGTCAGTTCCACAGGTAGCCACTGTTGGCATTCAGCGGTGATCCCCCTGATTTATGGGGTGGCAAACCCAGGCACAGAGTTGGCAGCAAACTGCTCAACCTGGGAACAGTTGGAGTGTGCCTCTGAGCARGCATTGGGCTGCACCTCTCCTCAGCCCAGAGCCTTGGAAATGGTCCATTTTTTCCCATGAGTGGTGCCCTGGCARGAGTTCTAAGGGATTGAGTACTGCTTGGAGCCCAGGCCCCAGTCTACACAGCCCAGTGCCACGGTTTGGGCTGAGTTACTCTGGCTGGTGCCAGCAAAAGCAGAATCAGCCCCTTTGCAGCCACCTTCCCMTAGAGTTAAGCCCTACACTGCATTTCTGGCAGCCACATCTACAGGAGACACCAGGCAGAGGCAGGCCCTGRATGTTCCAAGTTGCCCGCTGCCTCCTTCCCTCCCGCTCTCCGTGGGTTATTTATTTMTTTTGCTGGCTTTTTTACCAGCCTGCCTCTTTCCTGCAGGTTTCACAGAGTTAGGTTTCCAGGCAATCAACACTTGTTAAATATTCCAGTGAGCGTGATATTGCTCTCCTGTCTCTGTCTGCTGRTGCTCGGCTACGGTAATTTGCTGAACTCAGCTCTCGCGTATGGGGATTTCTAAAAAATAACAAGCCTATTAATAACAATAATTAAAAAAAAACCCCACACTTGACAGGTGAAAACGGCACATGTAAATTGTTCTGTGTGCCCCAGCAGGAGGAGGGGCATTTAGGCACTTTTTTCCCAGTGCTTCATGCAGGCTGTGARTGTTGGAGAGGGRGTGTTGTCTTATTCTGCTTGGCACRAGCCAAAGTGGTGTCGGGGTGGCCACAGCAGCTGATGACTGTTGCTTAGGGATCAGTGACTTTCCCTTCCTCCCAACATTAACATGCAAGGCATCTGAAGCCGGGGAAAGAATGGCTTTTGTCAAGATTCTGAAATTGGAAGAGGCAGGGATTGTGTTTCCAGGGAAAGGAATGCTTGGAAGTGATTTTTGAGGATCTCTTCAAGGGAGGTGCCAGGCTTACCCACTCTGGTTTGATAGAAAACCCCCTTTTTTTGAGGATTTCWGCTGAGGGAAAAGAAAAACCAGCATGGAGAAAGGATTCATTATATATGGAAGAAATTCTTTACCRTGAGTTGCCCRGAGAAGTTGTAGATGCSCATTCMCTTGAAGTGTCSAAAGCMAGGTTGGATGGGGCATTGATCACCCTGGTTTAGTGGAAKATGTCCCTTCYCATGGCAGTAGGATTGGAACTGGATGATCCTTAAGGTCCCTTCCAACCCAAACCATTCTCTGACTCTATGATTCTGTTTCCATCATCTGCCTTTGGGTTTCCTGGATGCCTCCCAGAAAAATCCAGTTCAACTTTTTCTTTGTGCAGGGCTGTAGTTCCAGCACCCTGAGGGGTGGGAGTGCCACCTGGCAGAGGGGAACCCCCTGCCTGGGATGGGCTGCATTTTTTGACAYCTGGCTCTGTGGCTCCCAAGTCCCCTGGGGCTTCTGCCCTTTGTAGCTCTCCTCACTGGGGTCTGGGCYAGGTTTTTCCAGAATTCCAGGCTTCTTTTTGCCTGCTTTTGGGAGCCTGAGAGACAGGGAAAAGCCTGTTCATAAGGATTTGGCAGTATTAGGGGCTTGCAGCATTGTTAGCTAGTTGGATGACTGCCCTTTTATGCCAGTGGGAGGTCTGAAGATGGGAAATTTGGGGAGATTTTAAATCCTGTGTGGAAAAGGAACTGTGCTCAGGATGAAGGCAAAGAGGTTAAAATGCTGTGAAAGCCTGTACAACCTGACTGGCATTATCAAAGCCCAACTCAAGCACTTAGAAGACTTCTGGGATGCCCTGGGGCATCTGCTGTCAAGCAGACAGCCTTGACCCTTTGCTGGGGCAGGATTTTGAGCACGTGTAGTAGCAACTGCAACTCCATGTATTGTGTGTCAGGGTGACTCGTGCACTGGTGTTTATTTGGAGATGAAATCGCGGGAGTCAGTGCAACAAATCCACAACCCCTGCACTGTGAGAGAAAGGGAAAGAGCGGGTCTAGACTTTTTAATAATAACAATAATAACCCTTGGTGGTGTAATTAAGGGAGGATTGTAGCTTTGTGCCATGTTTCCCAGTGTCTGTCCACACGGAGGAAGCTGTGAGCCACATCCTCCAGCCTCTCTCTCTCTCTCATTACCTGGGTGGGCTCCAACCCTGCTCTTATCCTCTCGGCAGCCTCCAAAACACAATCAGTTCCTGGATAAAAACGGGAGTTGTCCTGCCACAGCTGTGAGCTGTGTAAAGATGGGTTTGAGCTGGGTAATTTTCTCTGTGTTGGCCCTGCTGTCGCTAGACACCGTATCATTAACCCCAGAGGAGGTGGAGAGGTGAYGGCAGCTTTGCTGTAAGCCCCGTTAGGAATCTTGGTGCAATTTAGAAAAGAAAAAAGTCAGTTTTTCCTGGCTTTACATGGGGTTCTGCTTTTGCTCACAGAGGTGAAAAGGGTGTATCTTGGCTATTTCCCAGGAATACAGAGCTTGGCTCTTAGATCCGGCTACAGGGAGGTAATGGGCAGGCACTGTAGATTACTGAGGGGTGGTGGGGAGTGGTTTCTGGGTCTTACCTAGTATATCCTTTCTGGAAATCCAAGCCTGGTCTTCTGTGCTTTAGCAGGGGGTCAGTTCCTCAGCTTTTCCACTCCATTTGCTGGGWTTTTAAGTTGGTCATGGATTTTCTCTCTTCATTCCTTAGCGTGCTGAACCGCACCCCAGTGCACCTCGTCCATGAAATCATACTCGTGGATGACTTCAGTGATGATCGTAAGTGACCCTTTCCCTGTTAAAAGCAAGGGGCCAAAAAGCCTGTGAGGGCCTGGGATTTGTGCTGAGGTGGGGGAGAGTCTGCTGGAGTGGAAAGGAATTTAAAGCTCTGTAGCTGTGAAGAGCAAACCCTGCTGTGCCGGGTTTCCATTGCCACGAGTATAATTCAAATTCCAAATGATCCAACCTCTCCTCACGAAAATAATGCAAGAAAAGCGCGTGGCAAATCGTTTTTATGCCCAGTAGACGTGAATCCAATCCTTACACGGTTGTATCYCACCACGGCCGTGGTTTGTTTGATTTGGTTTTCAGCTGCAGCCAGAGGCCGTTCTGGGTTGACCCCACTGGAATTGCGTGGGACAATGACAGTCTGACCCTCTTGACCCTGTGGATGTGTTCCACAGACATTCAAGTGGGTGGTCAGCAGCTCTGGTTTGTTTTTTTTCATTCTTTCACCCATGGAAAGAGGATTCCCTGCATGGGTTTCCCKTTTTTGAGGTGCACCATAAATAGCGTTGTGCACCCCAGAGACAGCCGGCATCTTCTCACTGTTCCCTCCCAGTTAATAGTGTGACTCGAGGGAAATCAATAGCTCTGAGCTCCAACTGAAGGTAGCTGAAGCTCCAGAGGCTCCCAGGGAACCACCACAGCTAAACACCCTTCCYGGTGTGATGGGGGAGCTGAAGATCCAGGTGCCCAGAGTAAGTGCTCAAAAAATACCRTCTCAGGCATGAAAAGGATGATAAACTGGCTGASTGGTCTGTGGCACTTACGTTTCGARGAGCTGCAAAATAAAGCTGTTTACTTGGGGATGTGAAAACAAAACCAGATAGGTTTCTTTAAAAAATGGATCTAGGCTTTGCTCTTGGATGTTATAAATAGGCACTGCCTCAGAGAGCATTAGGGACAGATTTCACACAAGACCCACTTCTTGGCATTGACACCTCCCTGGGAAGTTGCTGGAGCTGGGGGAAGGAGCTGCTGTGATTATGGYGAGCCCTGGAGCAGCTCCAGCACATGGGGTGAGCTGGCTGGGCAGGTCTGGGAACCAGCAGAACGGCTGTGACAGGGAGAAGAAGCAGGTGCAGGGACTTGAGCTGCCCTGGAGAACAGCAGAGCAGGATTTTTGGAGGGTGGAGGAAGTAAATCCTGGCTGTTTGGCTCAGTAGGCTGAGTCCAAATGACTCCATTGCTTTGCTGGATGGAAGCAGGTTTGTGGGAGTGCAGCTCCCCTGTCACAGCCTGCCAGGTGCTGTGAGCCAGGCAGAGGAGCTGGGCTGGGTTTTAACTCATCCCAGGGCACCAGAGGGGGAGCCCCTTTSCTGTGTAACTGAGGGCAGCCCTCAGCTACTCGGTGCTTCTCAGCTCTCTGACATCTTCTTCCCTGTGATAGTCTGAGCCTGCTGGCATCTGCTCTGCATGCATTTACATAAAATACATGCATTTGCATAATACACTACGCACACATGGTCAGTTTTTTCCCTGCAACCCACCCCAAGCAATTAGTGCTTTTATCTCATGCCCAGTTGTGTCTCGTTTCTCACCTCTCTCTGCCTGCTGACTTGTTATTCACCGGGATACAGTTCTGCAGCACTGAGTTCCCACTATGCCCAGCAGATTTTCACTGTGAGTCCATAGCCAAGCCCTGCCACTTCTGCTGCCCTGTTCCAGCTCTGTCCCTGAATTTTTAGGGGTGTAGGTGCAGCGATGTCTTGCTGACAAGAGATTTTTGGAGTGGGGGTATGGGTGCAGGGGTTGGGGCACACACCTCTGTAGTGCCCAGGAAGAAGAGGCAGAGTGGTGAGAACCGTGAAGGGGTTGTGGAGGTCATAGTGTGGGTGTGTAGAGGTGGAGGGGGCTGTGATGGGTACACCTCATTCACTTTGCTGGCAGAAATCTGGGTAAGGAGGGATCGTGGGGCTGTGTGTGGTGTTGCAGGACCTCCYTAGCTCAGGTGTAGGTGGCTGTCAGGTCTTTTTGTCCCTTGGAGCTGTTGCCTGGGGCATGAGCAGCCACAGCTGCTCCACAGGGCTCTCTCTCAGCATCCCTTTCTCCTTGCTGAAGGCTCCAGGCCACCACGGGAAGCTCCTGCCCTGTCAGGCAGACACGCATCAACAGCTTGTGCGTTGCTTTGCAGCTACCAAAAATAGTCATTTGCATTAATGTGCAGAAATTCAGATTCTGACCTGAACCACAACTTTTCTGTGCTGATTTTAGAGCATAATTCAGCTGCTCTCAGTGTAAATCTGCTGAATTTACACTAATTTTATGAAAAATGCTGCTCTGCCAGTCCCAATTTATGCTCACAAGCTGGGTGGTAAGGCTGCTGTGACCCAGCAATGCAATTGCCCTAACAAGCCATCAACCAGTGCAGCACAGGGTCCTTTCCCTGCTCCCAGTCTCTCCCAGGAGTCCCCATTTCTGTGCCAGAGCCACTGTCAGGGCTGAGGCTGACATGTCCTCCCTTTGTGTTTCCCAAGCTGAYGACTGCCGCTTGCTGGGCCAGCTCCCCAAGGTGAAGTGCTTGAGGAATGGACGGCGAGAAGGTAAGAGCTGCCTGCCCACAAACCCACATTYTGGGAGGTGTGAGAGTGATGGAGCCAGGTGGGAACCTTTGTGGAGTGGTCAACAAGAGAGGTCAGTGACTCCTGAGAACTTCTGATAAGAGGAACTATGATAAAGGGCTAGGATTTAAAATGGATCTCCTCTCTCTTGCTGAAAAAGATGGGACTATTAAGATATCCAGTGAGGCTCAGCTGTGGCTTATTAGCCAGAAAATTAGAACAGGCAAAACAAAGCCCCGGGTCTTATTTGTAAAGATGTTTGCTCTAATGAAAGGGAGAAGATCTGCTCCTGCTGCTTCTGTGGGATTTTTTTTTTTGTAATAATTAATTATATTTTAGAGATTAAGAAGGGCTCTATGGAGGATGAATGTGTGTCCTACTGGGCTGCTGCTGGCAACCTTTTGAGACRTCTTCCCGTTCCCTGTAGCCTGAATTATTCCCTGTAATCCTGCTTTGCAGTATTAGGAGAACAGAAAAYGAAGTTTTTTCGTGCTGCAGTTCCAAGATGTGAGTTCAGGCCAGAGTTGGGTTGAGGAGGCTTGAGGAGTGGAGGTGTTTTTTTCTCTGTGGATTCTTTCAGCAGARGGTTTCAGCTCTGCAGGTCTGGTGACAGGGTGGCATCAGGCCCAAAGATGAAAGTGACATTCCTGCTTTGACAGGAGCTTGAGAGAGGTCTCCACAGACCTGCTCCTCACGTTTGTCCCCTGTGTTTCAGGGGTACATGTGAGCTCATCTCCAGCAGTGGATATTATTGATGCTCTATAAATCAGAACATGGCAACTCAACCTTGCCTTGCTTCATACATKACTTAAAGTGTGTCCCTCAGGGGCTGCCAGGATTTGGAAGGGCAGGGGTGGGTGAAGAAGAAAAGACTTAACCCATAAGACCTTAGGAGTCACAGAGAGAGATACAGGGATAGTCTGCATTGCAGGAGGAAACCKTGGCAAATGCTGGATGCTCGAGGCTTTGTTCACCTGTCCTCTCTTCTGCTCAGAGGCTGTTCCTTGACCCCTTTCCCCAAGGGAATTTTAATATGAAAGCCAGTGACCTCCTGCATGGACCTGATCTGTGGTTGCTCCTTAAAATCCTGTCCTCTTCATCTGCCTCTCTGTCCCCTTCTATTGCCACTGTTTCTGCTCCATAAAGAGGTCCTGCTCTGCTTGAGTCACCTGTGTCTCCTCTTGTTTGCCAGAATTCCATCTCCTTWTGCCATGGTTCCTTTGAGCATCCACTGCAGGCAGGAGCAGCTCTGGGCAGCTGGTTAACTCCTGCATAGGTAGGAACAGGGCATCTTTAAGAGCAGTGGTCTTGCCAGAGAGTCTAGTGTGGAATCCATGTGTGCTTTCCATGACCTCCCTCTTTATTAATTTTTTGTTCTCACAAACAAATGCAGCAATCCATTCCCATCTTCAAATGAGTCCAAGCTCACCATCAGGGCCCTGATGACCCAAGCATCTTTGGTAGAAAATGTGTTCCCATTGAGCTGGAGATCAGCAGTGCTCCCAGGGTGGGAGAGAGATCTTGGGGTCACTGGGACACAGAAGATATCGCAGCAGGAGAAAGTTAGCAGTCCGAGAAAAGCTTAATTCTGTCACAGGGTGTTCCCAGCCTCATCTCCCCATGCCCATTCCTTACTGCCTCACATCTGTGATAGATTTGTTGCCTGCAGAGGGTTATGAAAGCATTTTGAATCATGTTTTGTCCCAGAAGGTGACAGCAGAACTAATTGTGCAAACTACTTATTGGCATAAATGCCATAAATCAACGACCTTGGTGGAGCCATTTATTTGCTTTGGGGATCTTAGGAATTGGTTGACATACCTTGCAGCGCTGGGAAGGAGACAAGGAGCCTGGGCCATGTTTTATCTGAGTGGGATTTAGGCAGGTCAAAACCCAGGAGAAGCAGGAGACCCTGCTGGAGCAGCCTGGGGATGTTGCCYGGCCATGTGGGCAGCACTGATGTGGTGTGTCCCTGCACAGGTCTGATCCGCTCCCGCATCCGAGGGGCAGACGTGGCAAAAGCCAGCGTCCTGACCTTCCTGGACAGTCACTGCGAGGTGAATAAGGACTGGCTGCTCCCTCTGCTGCAGAGGATCAAAGAGGTGAGTGTTTCTGAGGGACTGCAGTCACCCTCGGGGGGTGCATCGTCCGTGTCTCTCTTCTTCCTCTCAGTGGGTATGACCATCCGGCCATAACCAATGCATGCAGGCATCCAAGGAAGGGGTACAGAGGGGCCTTTTGGGGTACAAAGTGGCGTGTTCTGGTCTTCCTCCACCCAGCAGGCAGGTCACCAGGTGTGGTGGCTGTGTGACTGGGGCWGCATGTGGGTGAGTGGGGTGAGGTGTCTCCCGGGGCAGTGGGACTCTCACTGGCAAGCACAGGTTGAGTGGTGATAGGGGAATACGTGGGCAGTGCTCCAGCAGAGATTTTAATTAGGCTCATGTAAAATGCTCAGTGATGATGATTTAAGGGAGTGACGGCTCCTTGAATAGGGGCCGAATTTAATTTAATGCAAATTAAGCGCTAATAAATTGATTTAATAGGATTTAAATTCTGCTGATTTTGGAGCAGACAATGACATTCGTCTCTCTCTGGCGGCGACTCTCTTGCCAGACGTGCRCACAGAGGCTGCTGGCGCCTTGTCACTCGAGTCAGGGCACCTCTGTGCCCGTGACCTGCTGGCACAGGGTGCAGGGATTGAAGCCYTCAGCTCCAGTGCCATGCCTCGCTCTTTCACCCTTGCACACCTCTGGCTCCTGATTGCTGGTGTTAATTACTCAGCACTTTTGAAACTATTGAGTTACACTGACATAAGCACAGCTGAGGAGCAAGGGGAAACGGAGGTGCTGGGTCATGGAGAAACTGCCTGGCTGGTGTTCATGCTGCCCCTCACCCAGGGCATCCTGCTTTTCACCCCTGCAGGTGTGATGGCTGTGCCAGGTGTGCATCCCCTGTGTGTGTCAGCGAGGGGGTGGCACAGGGGAGCACAGCACCAGGTCAGGTCCCTCCCCTGTGGCAGCATGGGTGGTGCTGCTGGCACTCATAGCACAGCCAGAGCTGGAGAGGTCCCAACCTCGGTGTGCAGGCTGGGCCATGGAGCTGCTGACAGATGGAAATGTAATGAGAATGGTCTGCTCRTGTTATCGATCGGGGCTCTGGTAGGGTTATGAGGGCACATGCTGTGACATCTCACTGCAGTCTCAAAGCTGGCCTGTCCAGGGTGGGATTCACGGCTAAACTTCACAGCATCACTTGTTCCATTGAGCTTTCTTAAGGCAGCCATTCCTCATTCTCTGCCAAAGCCCTGCTGTGCTTCAGTAAGGAGTATCCAGARTAATTGCCCCTTTCCCAAGCTGAGCTTTCCATCAGGAGAAGGGCAGTGGAGGCAGCAGGAAGGGGGCAGCAGATCTGCTTTCGCACACAACTCTGGGCCAGTGCCCCATGTTTGGCACCCTTGGGTGGCTGAGTGTGGATGCCATGTGCAGCATCAGCGTATGAGTTTCAGTGCCTCATGGTCTGAGTGCAGCATCAGTGCACACATCACCTCTGTGAACTCTTCTGGATTGAATCTTTCCCCRGCTGGCAGTAAGGTGCTCTGTAAGCTTGCACTGCTGCTCCTGCTGCCCTGACCTTGCCCAGCAACCTGCAGTCTCAGGCAGCGAGGGAGATGTGCTACAAAAAGCGTCGAGGGACTGCAAAGCCAGAGGGGTCCTGCTCGCCTGCTTTTTGTCTGCTCGCAGAAGCTGTGGGATGAGGGCAGAGTCCTCACCCTCCTCCCCAGGYCCACCGTCCCTTGCCAGCAGGGTTGGAGCATTGACCAGTGAAGTGTATGAAATGTTACTGCTGCCACCTTCAGGCTGTGCTCAAGAGGTGGGCTCCCTGTCCAGCTGCTCCAGGAGGATCAGCTGCCTGGGAAGAGCATTTCCTCACTCTGTTGCTCCTGGGAACAGTCTGTTTTGAGCTGATGTGGTGTAAGTTCCCAGCTGATGAGCWGTGAGTGCCTCAAAGCACGGCCACGGCTTTTGCACCGCAGCCCAGCCACCCCACGCATCCCTTCCCTGATTTCCTCAGCCAGAGCTGCTCTTCCTKCAGCTCTCCATGGTGGGCAGTGCCAGAGCCATGTGTGCCACCTTGCACCCATGTGGAGGTGCCCCTCRAGCCCCAAGCCCAGCTTTCCCAGGGCTGAGGGTTTCCTGGGAGAGGGATTGTCTCAGGGAGCAGCAGTGATGGTCACACTCTCGCMCCGGGGTGTTTGCAGACACATGGTTGAGACTGTGTGGGCCTGGGCTCTTATTTTAACTTAAGGAGCAAATATTTCTAAAGCCATTAATGGTGCACTTCAACTGAGTAACTTTTCTAAAAATGTAATMATCCGTCCCGAGGTATTTTTACAGTATGACTCAACAAGCGGGCCCCAAAACTGGATTTGCAAACAGCACTGGGATGAACCAGTGAATGGTGACCCCCAGCTCAAATAACTCCCCCAGTCTGGTGCTTTCCTGGGAAGGAGGAGGCACATGAGGGGCAACCTAATCTTTGCCTAATCCTGCTGTGGGGCCAGAGGAGCAACTGTGGCCCTTTTTGTTGACCATTAGAAGGTCAGGATGTAGARTCTGGGAGCTAAGCTGCAGCCAAGATCCTTCTCCGAGGCTGAAATGTATCTGTTACCTTCAGGACMATTTTCAGAGTTTTTCCCTGTTGATTTAGATCCATACATTGGTGTGTTTGAGAAGTGCGTTGCAGAAATGAATTGTCAGGTTTATGAAAGAGGATTGAAGGTCTGGGTGTTGTTAATATTAACATGCCCTGGCATGGGTGGGTATCAAAAAAAAMCAGAAAGATGAAGCTGCCTATAATAAGATCTGGTGTTCAGCCCAAAATAAATCATAGCAACAACAGCGCTGTGCTCTTGAGCRTGCCGTGCTTTTCTTTTGAGGGTCAGAGAGACCTTCACGAAAGCTGAGTAAATATAAATGTTCCCAGGACGTGGCAGGGAAAGTGAGGCAGGGTGAAGACAGCCCTGCTCAAGGTTAGCATTTTGCAGTAGTGCAACTCAGCCCAGATGTGAGGGGGATTTTCTTACAAGAAGCTGTGCTGTGCAGTGAGTAGCAGTGGAATGGAAACTGGGGGTGAGTGTCAGCTGGTTAGAAGTGCCCACCAGTGAGGTGCTTGAGGGGCAAGCTTTGAATGAGGGGATGCCACCCTTTCCCTACACTGTTCAGCACACAAAGCAGGTGCTTTGCTTAAAGCCTTTCCCCTTCCCTCAGGCAGTGAAAGGCTGCTTGGCTGTACAGAGCTGTGGCAGCTTGGGGGGCACTGTGCAGCAGCCACCGTGGGTTTGGTGGATTTGAAAGGCTCATGGTGCTTGGACGTGACTTGTGCTTGCCCGTGCAGAGGTACAGCACACCTTGCCCAACAGTGAGGTGTTTGACTCACAGAAGGTGATGGTGAGRCCCCTGGCTGGACCCTGTTACAGAAATACCAAGTATTTGTCATGCTCAGCTGGAAAATCAGCTCTAGTCCAGCTCCCAGCTCATGGCCTTTGGTTGCTTCTTTCTAGAGCTGCATTTGAATGCTTCTTTGTCAGGACTAATTTCTAAAACAAAGTCTTTCCCCAGTGAGAGAGCAAGCCTGTGTGTGTGCTCAGATGCTTCCCTTTGTATAGCTGTGAAAAAACAATTTGATCTGGCGAGGGTAAAACCTTGAAGTTTGAGCTATAATTGGAGTTTGGGATTTTTGAAAAGAAAAAGGGAGATAAGAGACCAGTCAAAGCTGTCAGAGTCTCTTCCTCCTGTAGATATTTTTGTTCATAACTGTTTGTATAATCTCTTTGCCCATAACAAGATGTTAATTAAATCACCACCAACTATTTTGAATAAATCAGGTCCTTTTAACCCTTTCACACCTTTGGCAAATCTAACTGTATTGCCGTAGTTGGTGCATTTTAAAAAATACCTATATTTAAGTTGTTTGGCTGTGTTTTCCCTCTGTCATTTCAATTGCCTGTTTGTCACTTGACTTCTGAAATCCGGTTAAAAGTATTTAAGGGAGGTGAAAAGGGAGTATTTTGGTGAATTTGCAGAAGGCAGAAGGAGCTTTGCATCCAGCCCAGCTGGGTGCCAAGTACAGGCACAGCCTGAGGAGGTGGAGGCAGTGATGGGCACTTGTCCCTGGCAACCCCGAATAAGACCAGTGTTTCCAGCCACTTGGTGTCTCCAGSAGTTTGGAGACCCTTGCCCAGTTTGAGTGGTGTCATCTGAAGTCACAGCTCCTTTCYCTTCTGCTTTGCAGGATCCCACCCGTGTGGTCAGCCCCGTTATCGATATCATCAACCTGGACACTTTTGCCTACGTGGCAGCTTCCTCGGACCTCAGAGGAGGTGAGTCCCACTATGTGCATGTCCCCTGGGCATCCATTCCATGGTGGGAATGTGCACTGGCCTCAGGAGGTGTTGGCTTTGCCCCATGCCTGTCTCTTGCTCACAAAAAAGCACATCAGCGCTGCTCAGCGCTCCCCGCTGGCTGCTCCCCCACTGCTCCGCTCAGGTAAGTGTGGCGTGAGCAATGTGCTCGCTGCAGTGGATGAGGCAGCCAAGCGGGAAACAAGGGACACGTCAGAGCCACCCTGGGCAGTGCTGGAAGCGACAGGAGGGCATGGGGGATGKCTGGGCAGCAAGTGGAGGATGAGAGTGTAGTGCTTATTAGTATGCCTGTGCTATTTGTAGCGCACGGTATCCATCGGAGCGTGTTTCTCTGTGCGCGGGGGGACTCAGTGAGGTTTCAGCAGCAGCTTTAATTCTGACTCTTCCTGCCTTTGGAGCACTTGMCTTTGCAATGGTAATGCACTGTGTTGTTTCTTGCTCCTGTGTAGTAGTAAAATACGTTGGGCATTGGGCTCTTCTCCCAGGAGCTGCATCTCTGTGGCGTGTGTCATGTGGAAGTGGGGGAAATGCTCCATCAAACACAGCATCTGAAGCCTGCATCGCCTCCTAATCCGTATCAGTTTCTAATTTCTCCAGGGCACTTCTCTACTTTGGTTTTAGGTTTTGACTGGAGTCTGCATTTCAAATGGGAGCAGCTTTCCCCGGAGCAGAAAGCCAAACGACTTGATCCCACCGAACCCATTAAGTAAGTCAGGAGGGGGAGGGAGGCTAACGTGGGGTGGGACAGGCATCTCATGTGACCTCATGTGTGTCCCCCTGCACTGGAGCAGTGTGCTGTTCCTTTCAGGACAGCTCTGAACTTCTGATAACTCTAGCGAGCTCCTGGCTGGCCTGGGATTTGCAGTACAGCTTCACCTTCCAGCACTGAAGCCTGAGAATGCCACAAGGAAAGAAAGGATATATTTATGGTTACTGGGGTTTTGGTAGTGCTGAGGGTTATGGTTAGGGGAAAAGCCCAGTGCTGTAGGGTACTGCTTCTTTCGGCTCAGCTACCACTAAAAATAATTGCCATGTCCTCAGCCCACATGGTCCAGTGTGGTGTCTAACCCAGCCTTCCCTCAGCACTGCTCTTCTGGACCTTGCTGAGAACCCCTCAGCAATGGGGGGTGTGCAGGAGAGGGGGCAAAGCTGAACAGGAGAGMTGTCATCTGTCCTGAAGCTGTGGGATGGAGGGAATCCTTCATTCTGCTGGAAATGTGTGCTGGCAGCAAGCCTGGTGCTGGTGTCTGCAGCCCCAGCTGGACATGGGGGAGAGAAAGTRCTGAGGGAAGCTTGGGGCCTCGATGGCTCCCAGGGGAGAAAGACACAGCTTCTCCTTAGGGTGCTGCTGTTCACACGAGCTCTCACTGGCTTCCCAAAGGCTGGCCTGGCATTCCTGGTCACTCTGCAGTGTAGGGCATGGTGGGGATTAGCCTGGGCACAGCAGTCACCCCAGCTCCTCCCAAGCCTACRCTGATGATCCACATCCCTCCCAGTGAATGGAGACAGCACTCGTGCCAGCAAACAGCAAGAGTCCTCAAGCTGTCTTCTGTCTGCCCTCCCCTCCTCCACGGACCTTCTCTGTGCAGCTTTCTTAGCTAATCCAAAGAAAGGAAAATCACCCTGGTTTGAAATAAAGATCACACAGCTAGTGATGGCTTTTAAAAAGCCCTTCTGAATTGGCTCTGCCTTCCTCTCCCCCCGTGGAATGGTGCTCTTAATAGGCTGGCTCCAGGCAAAAAGCCCGTCTGAGTGAATAACCCCCGAGTGCTAAGTGCATTTTTGATGCCGAAGCCTACAATCAGGKCTGTGAACTTTGGGCTTGTAGGAGTTGTGCTGACGGGTGCATTAGCCAGTCATTAAGTGCCAGGCAATTTATGATTGACAGCAAAACACCAAGGCAGCTGAAAGAAAAGCTCAGATGCATTTTGAGGTGTTTTGTGCTTTTCTTGGTGAGAAGGAGGATATGCAGGTAACACCCTGATGGTGGAAGAAGAGGCCAAGGGAAGGGCTGCCTCTGTGCGTGCAGGTGCTGCAGCAGTGCTTGAGCTGTGTCCTCTTTCCTTCACCCATTCTGCAGGACACCCATCATCGCTGGGGGGCTCTTTGTGATTGACAAGGCCTGGTTCAACCACCTGGGCAAGTACGACAGTGCCATGGACATCTGGGGTGGGGAGAACTTCGGTGAGTTGTTCTTCATCCTCCTGTGCCTTTCTGCATTGACTTCCCTTTCTGAGTCGTGCCAGATGGATACAAGGTCGTTTTGGACTTTGGTTTGAAGGTTCTGCGTGGTTTTCCTCATTTACATTCATAGGTTGTGGTCTTAGGAGAGTGAGGGATCCARCAACCATGAATGATGGGAAGTGAGCAATTGTTGGTGCTTGGAACTGCCTGCCTTCCATGCTGCTTTGATTTTCTGTGGGTAAATACCTTAATCCACACAGTTTTCASCTTTGATGTTACCAACAGATGAGAGAACGCTACATGCACCCTCCTGTTCCTTTCTGATCTGATTTTCTCCTTGGTAAAGCAAAGAGTGYGTCTTATTTCATTAATGGCAGCGTTTCCAAGCTATGAACTGAAGTATCAGTGGCACCTTGAGTTTGCAGAGTACCTGAGACAGTCGCTCCATCTGCGTGCACCAAACAGGTGGCAGAGTGACACGGCTGCTTATCCATTCCTGCATCCCTGGGTGCCTGAGTGCTGCCAGGCTCTCTGTCATACTGTCACTTTCCCTGCACCAAAAAGAAGGGTYGAGCTGACCTAAATTCAGTCACCTCTGCCCCTCATCATGGGGCAAGAGGGACATTAAGAAATCTTGTGCAGGCAGAGTTRAGAGGGCACATGAGAGCGGTAACAGCCTGTCCCTTGCTCTCGGTGTCACGCACAGCTGGATGGGGCCGGGCTGTTCTCAGGCCGGGCTGTTCTCCCTTTGAAGCTGTAGTGGTGCTGTGGATCAGGACAATGGACTGTGCTCATGAGAGGAGGGGGAGGCACTCGCTGTCAGGCAGGCAGAGCAGAGCCTGGCTTTAATAGCTTGCACCTCTTGGGAGTGGGGCTGGCCAGGAAGGAAGGCTCTCGTGTCTTAACCCATCCAGCGATGCTGTCAGTCATCCAGGGGAGCAGATGCTGCCGCCTTGCAGCAATCCATCCGCTGCCTGGCACTGCTGTTTCCTTCACAYGCCTTGTCCCTCTAGATATATTTTGTGTATTTATATCTTGTTAGGCAGAAGGAATGTCACCTCTTCACGCTTTCTCTCTGTGGGCGGGTATCTTGCTGCTGGACTGACCCGAGGTATCTGAGTGGGGTGGCTGTGAGGAAACCTGGGAGGGGAGTGGCAGCCCTCCCGCCTCCCCTACGGGATCAGTAGCCCAAACAAAGCATTCCAAAAGGGAACTAGACAGGAGAAGAGGGGGAGAGGGACTGCTGTGCTGTGCCTGACCTGCTGKCTGTCTGTGCTTGTCATTTGTCTGTGACAGCAGCCGGCACGAGCTGTTCCTGGGAGATGAACAGTGACAGGACAGGCTGGTCTTGGGGGAAGCTCCATGCTGGCAGCTTCTCTGTGCCCTGTGACAGCAGGCATTGTGCTCCTTGTGCCTGGTTATGGCCCGTCTGACAGAGGAGAGGTTTTCCTTACTGGTCTGTGCCCCAGGAGGCTGGTCCTGACCAAATGTACACTGGCTGGGAACCAAACGTGCTGCAAGGTGTACGAGGGCCTCATGTGACAAAGGAAAGCAAACTCAAGGTTAACGTGGCAGCTAAAAAGTGCAGGCCTGCATGGCACACAGCTCCTGGTTGCCTGTCTGGAGACCTTATTTGTTACCTGTCACAGATGGCTCTGTGGATCATCCCTACCTGTGGAAACTTGTGCTTTAATTGTTTCTGCTGGYCTGGAGCAGGGTCTGCAGGGTGCAGCTGGTCTGAAAGCAGAGAGCTTCAGCCTCRTCACCATCTCCTGTGCCCTGTGTCCCCATTCCAGTTCACAGTACACAGAGATCACCTCTTCAGTGGGCTTTAAAAAGCTCAGGCAAGAGTGAAGGGTACGAGTCCTTCCCTTTTAGCACATCAGGGAGCTGCTCTCCTCCCAGGCTGAGCACAAGGACCAGAGCAGGGGAAGGCAGGTTGCAGCAGCCACACTGTGCTCCACTGCTGCTCAGCTGCTTGTCCCCTTGTGTCCCCTTCCAGCTGACRCAGCAGTGCCACACAGACGGGTGATAGCAGCAGCAGCCACGTGTGAGGGGAGCCGAGAGCAGTGGCTTAGGGTGGCCATGCTGCCATAATCCCATTTCCTACAGCTGTGATTAAGGTTGCTCCCAGTATAGCAGCAGGATGTGGCACMGGGGCACGTTTCACTGGCCTGGTCATGCCCAGTGCTGGGGAAAGTGGGGAGGCTCCAGTGCTGGTGGCAGCTCTTACACGTAATCACGGACGGGAAGGGAAGGGGAGGGAATTTCTGGAAAGGAACACTGCTCCCTGTTGTGCTTTCCCACCCCTGCCTTTGCTTGTCCCTGCTGCCAGGGCCAGCTGTTGGGGATGGGATCAAGCCTTGAATTTTGGACCCAGGCATYAAGGCAAAAAGACTTTTCAGCCTYSYATTTCCATCAGCTCAGGAGCAGGWGGGTGTGCTGGGAGCAGRATGGGAGCAGTGTGAACGTGGATTSCACCTCTGCAGTAACTCATGGCTCAGCTGTGTGTGCTGAGAAGCCTTTGGAGGTCCAGGCTCCAATTCTCCTTTGCTCCCTGGAGCTGTGAGCTGTTTTTGGAGGGATGGTGGAAGCTTTTTGAGCTGGCACTGGAGGAGGAGGAGTCCTGTCCACACTGCCCAATTGGCCTTCCTGCCACAGGTGCCTGTCCTGCCAGCGTCTGACCTCGGGACAAGCCATCCTTGTGCTGGCATATGTGAGGGAGAAACTGCTGGGAGCACAAGCTGGCAAAGTCAATGGGTGTTCTCTTGTCTTAATTCTGCAGTTAAAGAGGGGGTGTGTGTGAAAAGGAATTATTAATTTTGAAGCAGATACRTGCTACATATAGCACTATACTGTCAACAGATGATAGAACAGGATTCAAGGAACTGCAGAAGCCTTTTAACTTTAATTTCATTTCTTTGCCACGCTGCTTCTGTCTGAGCATGTCTGTCTGACAATAGAGCTGCAGATTCATAGCTTCATAAGCATTAGGACCAGATGGACCCATTTAGATCAGCCATTCTGCTTACCCATCCCACCTCATCCAGCTCCCTGCCAAGAGCTTTATAACTTCTTGGTGTCAGTTGTGCTGCAGGCTTGTTTTCCTTGGGAAGGGCCCCGTGGACCAGCCACAGGGTGACTTGGTGTGACTGGGAGACATTTCCCATACTGACAGTTTATCCAGATATTTSGGATAATCCCTCCCACCGCTGACTTTTGCTTGTGTGAAGGTGTGTGTCTTATTTKACTGCAGCATTGGCTTCTAAGGCCCAGGGTACCTGGGCAGGGTGAGCTCCTGTCCATTTTGGGACAGGCAATGGAGGCACAGCTCTCTGTTCACTTTGAATAATCAGTGCTGGATTCGTAAAGATAAYGGCAGCTGAAGTCATCAATGAAGAGAATTCATAGCCTCTCCTGGTGAACTTGGCAGCCCTTTGGAGGGAAGTGGCTCTGAAACAGGCAGTGCAGAAGTAATAAGGGAGGCACAGAGCTGGCAAGATGGTTCTGCGATGTATGAAAAGGAGCTGCTTACTGTCTCACACTCACCATTGTGAGAGCACCTGCTGTGCTAGAGGCAGGTTTCRAGTGTGCTGACTTCAAACAGCTTGCAAGGAGCTTTGAAATGTGCTTTTAAGACCGTTGTGCCKAGGAAAGCCCGTCTGGTAATTGATTTACCCCAGTTTAATGTTGCAGAGGATGAACTAAGAGCTAACACCAGGATTCAGACTGCTCTAGGACAGAAAGACAAAATGCTGAAGCTGCTTCTCTTACAGAAATCTCTTTCCGTGTGTGGATGTGCGGAGGGAGCCTGGAAATCATCCCCTGCAGCCGTGTTGGGCATGTCTTTCGGAAGAAACATCCGTACGTCTTTCCAGAGGGAAATGCCAACACATACATTAAGTAAGTGGTTTGTACTCGCTTTGGTTTTCTGTRAAACAGCCTTATAGGGAGTGGGGGAGCAGAGAAGACAGGCAGGAAAGTTTGTTTGGAAAACTTTGAAATATCCTTGGGCAGGCATTTCTTGAGCTGAAGGAAATGTGAGTCAATACAACTGTCCCACAGGATTTATACAGTGTCGAGAATATGACAGAAATAGGACATTTTTGTGGTAGCTTTCATCAGCACAGGAACGGAGGGATGGCCCCAGCACACACAGCACTGGGGCCATAACATCAAATAGTTCAGACCTTGAGGTTGTCAGAATACATTTATCATGACCTTGGAATCAGGCTGCTGACATCTGTCAGTAGCCAGTGACCTTAGCTGAGGGCTCAGTGTGCCTCAGCTGAACCAGAAAATTTGGTTCCCTCTAAAATGGGAGCCACACAGCCTGCTGGAGTGGGTGGCTCTGTGTCCAGGCTGGAGTAGAGGCAGCAGTGGGCTGCACCTGCATGGAGTGGACACTGAAGGGACTGAAGGAATCCCAGCTGAAGGGGATCTCTCCTCACACACAGGACATAGACTGAATCAGGTAYTGAAAGGGTTGCCTGAAGTGGGCTAAGATCCTGGAAATATCAGGCAAAGAAAGAGGAAATCCAGAAGTGGGAATAGACATATRAAAGATGATGAGAGCAGCTAGTGAGGCCAGGAAGGATTTCCTCCATTTTTAGARTGAGAGACTGAACGTTGTTGCTGAAGTGAATGACAGAGAAAAGCACTGGGGSCGCTTACAGTAAATGCAGGGTTGTTTGTGAGCTAACCTGCAGCWGTGAGTGCTCACACACCAGGCTTTCCTTTTAGCAGGGGCTTCCCACTGTTAGAAAGAGACAGCAGCGTTTGTGAAGAGCCACAGAGTCGCTGCTGACCCAGGCTCTCTGCAGCTTCCTCAGCCTTTGCTTGACACGAGGAGCTGGGGGAGTGCAAATTGCACCTCTCAGTTACACCTCACGGGTGATTTCCAGCCACAAACAGTGCGTGCAGCAGGAAGGGGGCAGTGGTGATGGGCTCAGGGCATTGCTGGCATTAAGGAGGAGAGCACAGAATGGAGAATCACCAGGAAGGCTTTTGCTTTTACTAGTGAAGTGAACTTCACTACTTGAGAAGAGTCTGGGATGTGGCAAAGCCTCCACTGTCAGAGTCACTGCAAACCTGAGTGAAAAGGTGGTGCCTGCATTGCATCACCTGCAGGAGGAGCAAGGGGARCTTGAATGGGGACAGCTCTTCCGACTTCTTGTCAGGCACAGGCCTCAGGGGACTTTGGGGATGTCTGTGTCATGCCTGGGTGTGAGCCTTGGCGTTTATTCCCGTGTTTCTTGTACACTCAAATGAGATCAGGAAGCCAAACAAAGGAACCCTGCACTTTGGGACAGGTTAGGTACAGATGTAGACATTGATGTTGTCATCTCTTGAGCAAGAGCACTTGGACTGCTGCCTTAGAGAGGGAGGAAGAAGAAGGCCATGAATCAGCAAGGAACTGAAAAGCAGTTTGGAGAAATGTACCCAAATGCATCAGGAGCTGGGATSTTGTTAACCTTAGGGTATCAGCCCTAATGTTACAGTGCATAGACTGAGAGGAGGAGCAGCTTCTGGCAGCCTGGTGCTTCTGTTTGAATAGAGATGTTAGCAAAAAACACCTCCACCTTTCTGCCAGACACTGATTGTTCTTCCATAGAGCCCCTGCTTCAGTGTGAGAGGCAGCTCAGGCTCCAGTGTAGTGCTGGCTTCACGTGAAGTCTGTCTCTTTTTCTGGCCACCTGGCACTTGGCTGGACCCAGCAAAGGCTTGGAGCAGGAGATGGGAATCCCCTGGTCTAGGCAGGGATAGGCAGATAAGCATGGAGCAAGAAATCCATTGGCAAGAACAGTTAGAGCCATCTGAAGCCAACAGAAGATTTGCTGAGATTCAGAAACTTTCTGCAGACACCTGGCTGATGTGGGAGGCTGACATTCATGCTACAGCACTGTGGTGGAGTRGTTTCTGTTTAAGTTTTGAATGTTGAGGTTTGTCTCAATGAAATCCAGGAGTACAAAGCAGGAGAGTCCATTCAGGATTGAAACAAAGGAAATACTTGCAAATCTTCGGTGAACTTCTCAGACCTCCATTCCAGCCACTAAATAAAACCCCAGGCACTCCTGCCTTAGAGATGATGCTTGAGAGAACCTTTAGCTCAGAGTGAGGTGGATGCAAAGCATMCAGCTGAGTTTTAAATGGTGAGTTCTTCATCTGAGCTTTATTTGGCCTGATGTGTTTGGTCCCCAGAGTAACGATAGTGAAGGAGTACTGGGAGCAAAGTGAGGGATGGGCTGGCTCAGAGGAGGTTTGGGGGAAGCCAGAAACCAAGCTGAGGGTGGGAGTAGAGCAGGATGGGTCAGTTGGTGCACTTTGGGAAATGTCACTTTGCAAGTGACCCTTTGGTTCCCCGTGTGTTGCCTCCCCCAGGAACACCAAGCGCACGGCCGAGGTGTGGATGGATGAGTTCAAGCAGTACTACTACGCCGCTCGCCCCGCAGCCCAGGGGAGGCCTTTTGGAAAGTAAGGGTTCTTCTGCTGYTCCCTGTRCCCTSCCTGTGCCCTGCCTGCTGCAGGGGGTGTCACAGTGACRTCCCCTTCTGTGAAACCACCCGCCTGCATTGTTTTTGTTGTATCACTGAAATGCTGCTGGTAGGTGCACACCACAGCCATGAGGTGGATAAACAGCCAGGTTARATGCTGTGCTGGTTTATTCCAGGGAGTGAACCCAACCCAGGTGGGGAAAAACCTCTCTGCCTGTGTCCTGCCCTTGGCATTGCATACAGATACTGACCCCCGAGTCCAGAGGTGTTACTAGCAGGAAAAATCACCAAATGTTTGGCCTGCTGATGCTTTATTAGAAAGCAGCAAGTGCTTGTGTTCAGGGAGTTTGCCATTCATTCCGTGAACAGTCAGAAATACCTCCCTGTCAGGAGGACTGTAAATATTGGTGTTGTATTTCTCATTTTCACATGCTCCTCTTCACCTTAGAAAGTTTCCTTTGGGCYCCAGGGGGTTCCCARTCCAAACCCAAATTCCTTGTGACTCSTCTTCAATCTCCAGGATAAAAAAGTTGAAGTCCCAGTCACTCACCTATTTCTCCTGTATTAATATCCTGCTCCCATCCATCAGCACACAATGAAGTAGCATCTCTGTCATACCTAGGGTAGTAGGATATAGAAAAGTTGACCTACGTGAAAAGAAGGTACTGGAGATTTCTGACTGCTCCATAAAAGCCACCTCATAGCAGCTCCACAGGTAGAGGCTGGAGGAGGAGTGGTGTTTCAAAAACRTCTCTGTACAGCAGGATCCTTCAGCAAAAATTTTTGATTATTGAAAGAAAAAATTACTTCACTGTGTGATTAACTTCTGCTGGCTTGCAAGTGTGTTTAGGTGCTCCTGTAAATCAAGGCCTCCTGTGGCCCTGTAAACAGAGTAACTTAGAATAGCAAATAGCATATATTAATTTCCTAGTATGTTAATGTATTAAAGTAAGGATTATTGCATATAAAAGAAAGGATACATTTTTTACTAATAATTTTAAAATTACTGTGCTCTTCCATGAACCTTTTCAACTCCAGACTCCTTGTTAAAATGACAGTGTGCCATTTTACCAAGTGAGACCTCCAAAGAGACAGAGATCAAAACAGCCGCTCAAGCTCATGCCGTGAGCAAACAGAGCTGCTGATCCTCTTGTGTTTGCTGTCTGTGCAATTTTGTTGGATTTCTCTCAGCCTCCTTTTTGGTGTATTGGGTCTCACCTTCATCATTCCTGTTGTACCTCCGTGATATTTTCTTCCCACAGTGTCCAGAGCAGAGTGGAGCTRCGGAAGAAGTTGAAATGCCACAGCTTCAAGTGGTACCTGGAGAAYGTTTATCCCGAACTTCGGTACGGATGTGCCATCTCCGTCTGTCTTCAGCAGGCCAGCAAAGTGCTCCATCCCTCCCTCCTGCCCCACAGAGCTTTCCTCTGCCCCAGAGACACAGGCACCCCTCCCTTGGGCTTCACAGAAGGGCACAGTGAATTTTGTGCTGGCTTCAAACATARCTTCCTGCAGTGTGACATAYTGCAGRGCCAGGAGCTGGGTTTGGAKATCCTTTGGGGTCCCTTCTRACTCAGGATATTCTGTCATATCTGCTTTGTCTAAGATCTTTGCTGCAGGGCTGGTGAGGGACAAAGCACCAGTTATTCCCATTTGCTCTCTGGAATTTATTAGGTATCCTCCTGCCCATGCCGTGGAAGAGATTGTGTAGGGAAATAAGAGAGTTTTCCTTACAAAAATATCCCAAGGCAGAAAATCCAGCATAACCTCTGCTGGGTGCYTCAATACTTAATGACTCTGGTTTACTAAACAAGCACCTAATTTCCAGTCCTTTCCCACTGTTCTGTGACACTCRGGGCTTCTCTGTTGTGAAACCATCCACTCTAGGATTTTATGATTTGCATTCAGATGGCTCTGCCTTGCTCCCAGCCCAGAGCTTTGCTAAATATCCACTTCCACAGTTACTTTTGCACAGGTGTCTTTTACTTACCAAAATTACTCCAGAAACCATTGMATTCATTCCCCTGGTCCATGTCAGGAGCCATCCTCAGAAAGGTGGTAAAGTTTTGGAGACACCTGGTGCAATAGCTGAGTGAAGAATCACTGTGTGAAAATGATGATTTCTGTAGCCATTTTCTTGTGCTTTTTTGCCATGTGTGGCATTGTACAACAGCATTCACAAGCAATGCCTGAGCTCTGTGACAGTTTGTTATGAAGTTCCCCTCTCCTGCAGGCTGAAGGCTGACCTTCAGCCTGCTCACAGCCTATTCCTGGCTCCTCTGCTTGCCTTGTGCACTGTTATTTATTTTTCCCTCTCACAAAGGTCAGCCATCCATCTCTGAACGCTGTTTCTGCAGCGTCCCTGTCCGTGTGCTGCTCTCAGTGCTCCAGTACTGTGATAAATCTTGCCACCCCTCATTTTCTGAATGTGTRATGGTGCAGCCTTACCATGCTGAGCCTCCCTGTGTGTGTGGGGCTGTATGGATATTGTTTTCCTTCTTTTCYTACAGGATTCCTGAGGAATCGCTGTATCAGACTGGGATAATCAAGCAGAGACAAAACTGCCTGGAGTCACACAAGTCTGAAGACCAAGAGCTCCCCATCCTGASCTTAAATCCTTGTAACAGCACCAAGGGYKCAGTACCAAAGGCACAGGTAAGATRTGTTGTGTATCCCTGTGATGCCAGATGGGAAGAAGCCTTGGGGACAGCTCCAAGATGATTTCTTAAGGTTGCTAAAGCTCTGTTGGAGGATTTTCCCATTCTGCCAATGTCTTCCTTAGGCAGCACGGATTTAAACCCTGGTAACTCCACCTGACCTTGGTGGAAGCCCTGGGGGGCAGCAGGGACTGGTGCAGGAGCCACAGGACAGCATGTCCTGCTCATCTCAGTGTGAGCTTATGCTGAGCACTTCCCACTGCCCAGGAACACCACACGCTGCTGCTCATCTGCACAGATCAAAGGCAAAGAGAATTTTAACTTCCTCTCATCTCTCAGCCTTTTTTTCCTTTCAAAACTGACTGAGTTGCAGTGGCATTTTTATGACTTCATAGTCTGCATTCTTCTGTAGTGGATTGCCCATTAAACTAAGYGAGGATTTAATGAGGACAATCTCGKTTTTTTCAATCTCACTGAGAAGAGAAAAAGCTCTGTGAATGGATGTTCTCAAAAGCACAGCCTAGGAGGTGTCAGAGCCAAGAGCAGGCACATGTGCCTTGCAGCAGAGTTTCTGGACCAAAACCCTGAAGATACACATGGCTTCAAAACCCACCTTTGCATCCGGTTCTCTTTGTGATTTGGGGCATATCAGTAAATTCTGTCAGTGTTCCCATGTGTAAAACAGGCAGGATAACAATCCCTCACTTCTCCAGGGGTGCCATGAAATAATTCAGTAGGAAATGGTGTGCTTGCTTCCACTTGACTGTACATCCTTAACCCACGTGGTTACACATTCAAACCAGGTAGCTGAGCATATAAAAGGCCCAGCCTGGGAGACTGCTTGAAATGTCCCTGATTTGTGTGTGCAAACAAAGCAAGGCATTGTATGCATCACTTTCAAATGCAGCTGCGTGCTTGTCTCTAGGCAGGAAATTAATATCTGTTTCACAGCATGCTAGAATCAACAATGACTACTTGAATATTAGTTCAGAAAATGTAGTTAATATAATTGCAAGTGCCACACAGTTACACTTCTTACAGTTTTACTGGTTTCCAGGTTCCAGAATTATTTTTCCTTCTGCTGCTGCTACATGGACCTTTCACACAAACAGCAAGGGAAGMGAGCTGATGAGAGCAGGTCATCGTGTTTTTCAGGGCTAGCTCTGCAGGAGAAAAGAAAAATGTTCTAACGACAGTAGCGACTTAAAATGAATTGGATGTTTTTTAAAAAAGAAGTCTGGGGAAATCAGAATGAAAAATGCTGCTGCAAGTTAGTGTTGGTATTGGTCTTTCTGAAATACCAATTTGATGTGGTATTTTAAAATGAGAAATGTCATGCCAGCAAGTTGGATTGTTTCATTCCCACCAAACACGTTTTGTTTTGACATTTCTGTGCAGTAAATTTTTGGAATTTTTCACACCACAAACTTTTCATGTTCCCGTTCTGATTCTGCAGCAGTTTGCAATAGGTCAACACTTCCCACTGGATGGCAACTCCGTTTCTTGTGCACATYCGGGACTAACTCTGCAAAGGAGCAGAAAAATGCTACAAACAGTTTGCAGAATGGCTGCACTCAGTACACAGCAGGAATAGAGAAAAGCCTTTTCCTTTTATCTTTCTCTGTCTTTGTAGGATAGTTCTCTGTTACTTGTACCCSTGGAGAATAGTTCAGATTAAAGCAGGTTATTTAAACTTTTATTGTGAATAGAAATTTATGTTTTAATGACACAGTTGCTACAAGACCACCTGAACTGGTGGATGACRTGGGTGTTACAGGCACCAGGCTGTGTAGGATTGATTATGCAGCAGTCCTGAATGCTATTTAGTTGTGCATTTGATATACCAGAATAGAGCAATAATCTTCACTTTTAACACASTGAAGTCACATCTTGTTTACCCTAAGCTTCATTATTTGAAAAATAGGCTTAGCTAAATCAAAGCTGTGCTTTCCTGGCATTCAGTGAGTACCATGGAAATACCCTGGCTGTCCAAATTCTTTATTMTCACTATTATAGTAGCAGTAATTTGGTTGTTTTGATTGCCTTTCTGTAGCTTTCTCCCAGCTGGGCTCCCCCAGCCCTTTACCAACACCGTGTCCATGAGGTCCATAGACTGGGTGTGAGAAGACCTGAGCTATGATGGTTTGAGGAGAGAAGCACAGGAGACATCAAATGGCAATCAATTACTCTTTATTTTAGTTTTTCTACCTKTAGCATAGGTAAAGGGTGTTGTGAGACCTCTGGCTACATCCATAGTTCGGTTAAATTGAGACAAATCATCGGTGGTGAAATCAGATTAACACCCTTAGCAGATCTCAAAACACCTCCCTGATGGCATCTGGTGTTGGTCCCAAATTACTGAAAGGGACACTGAGGCACAAGAGGACTCCTCATCTTTCTTGGGGTGGTTGAGATCCCCAMGGTGGCTCTGGAGTTAGTGACTGGCAGAGATGTTTGTGCACAGCCCACCCCAGGCTCTGCCTGCGCTCCTGCCCGCTGGAGCCTCGGCTCTCTGCGCCTTGTTGCGTCTCATTTGCTAAATTAACAGATTGATTTAGTTTTTCACGAGAGAAATGCATCTGAGGGAAAATAATTGATCATAATTTTGTCCTCATCTGTCTAATGAAGATGTGAGTAGCTGGGGKTTTTTTCAAACCAAGTGTCAGTTGATATTAGTTCATAGAGTTTGGACAAGACATCTGACTCTGGGATTTATTTAAGTCATTAGCAGCTCCAGGAAACCTGACATACTTCAGATAAAAAATCTGAAGATGCTTTGACCTGGATATAACACACGTGTAAGCAGCTGCTGCAAGGGGAATGTAAAGTTCAGGCATCTTTTAGACAAGTGAGGAATGGKGGGAAGGCTGCAGCACCCATTTCCTGAGCCTGCACCCCGAAGTACCTGGAGTTAGCAGCTGAGTGGGTGCCATTGCATTTGAGTGGCATGTCCTTGACCCTTCTTGGGAAGGAATGCAGTGGGATAATCGGCCTGGTATGGCTTGGATGCTCATCCCAGTTGGCCTGAGGTCCTCTATGTGCTAGCTAGATCTGCACTTTCTTTAGAGAACCTGTAGCATCTATCCAAACTAAGTGTCCTTCCAGAGATATCTCAGCCATAAACATTCTCTTCTGACCTTCCTCCCCTCAAAAATCTTCATTCTTCTCCTCCATGGCCATGAGCTGTCCCAGCTGCTGGCTGGAGCAGAGCAGAGGGGCAGCAGTGCCACCTCTGCACCCAGGTTGTCCTGGGCACTCTGCTGTCCCTCTCCTGGGATGTTGGAAGTGCCAGCTGTATCCCAGGGCCTTTGAAGAGTGGAGCACTTTGGTATCCTCAGATGACTTGTGCAGTCATGTGTCTTGGGAAGTCCTTCCCTATGATTTTAAGATGATAATTGGATAATTAGATTGTTCCACTTTCTTCAGAAACACTTTTCTCTCGCTGCCACCCCAGCATTAGGGCACAGCTGACCTCTGGCTCAGCAGCAGAGGCCTGGCTGTCAYGGAATGCTGGGCTCCCATGGGAGCTGCTCCGTCCTGGGCTCAGGGGCTCCTTCCTCCGTCTGCCAGCCAGGCTGTGCCAAGCCAAAGATCACTTCTGAAAATAATTTCCTCGATTCACAATAATGCTGAGTAACAGTGACAGGTGCCGGCTCAGAGAATGCTAAAGCCTTGAGAAATTGTCAGAAGGCTCAGATGAGGGGTCAGTGTCATCTGAGGCTTTGGAGGAAGGGGCTTGCTGGCTGTCTGGTGGCTCTCTTTTCTTCACCCTCTTCCTCCTTGCTCCACTGCCACTCCTTTGTTCTCTTTGAAAAGRCAGCAAATCTTCATCTCAGTTTTAYCTCATAAATCTGTCTTTCCTTGSTTGTGGGRTCAGCTCTAAACCCTGATGGCATCTCCTCAGGCCAGTCTGCAGCCCTGAAGCTGTGCTAGCTCCTTGTAGGGCTCCTTAGGAGTATCGTGGGCTGTCCTATCCGTCACAGCCTCCATGGTGCAGAGCTCTGCTGCTGTTACTGCTGTGCTGGCTACATCAGTGCCGGGTGTGCCAGAATTGGGAGATGAAGGAGCTCCTCGTGGGAAAAAGAAAATTAAACAAAAAAGCAGAAATTTTAATCTCAGCTGATACAAATAAGGGAGGAGAAAGGGTAAGATAAAAATTTGCATGGCCATGGGTGTGTATTTWAACTCAAAGCCCTTCATGGATTCTGTGGTGTTCAATTGACTTCCCTCCCCCCCCCCCCAAATTTCTTCATTTGCTGCATAATTTTCTTTGGCTTTCATCTGGGGCTGAAAGGGAAGAAGACWTGATTAGAGCTGGATAAAACATTTTCAACGGGGCTGCCTTCCATAAAAAGCCATTCTGCCGAGATAGATGAGCAGTGTGAAAATCTGTCAGCTGAGATAAAGACATTGGAAGGACAGCCTGGGGGCAGGGGGTAGGATCCAGTGTCAGCTGTGGAACTGCACACATCCAGCTCTGGAGTCCTCCCTTAGGATGAACAACAGCTTGGGGAACATGGTTACCACCACCCTGCCTRTCCCATGGTCCASTGCTGGATGAGAGGATGGYCCTGCCTTCAGAGGGTGTGAATACWGTGAAGGCTTGAGCATAGCCTGGCCTGGGAAAAAAAGCATGGAGCAGTATTCCATGAGATAACCTCGGTGAAGCAAGAAGGTTAAGATGTCAAAACAAACAAACAAAAAAGTCCCATGGCTTGAGTTAGCTGGAGAATTCAACATATACACAAATTACAGGATTAACTGGCTGCTGCTGAGGAGCCTTGTGGGTGCAGCTGCAGCCCTGTCCTGAGCTTAAATGACAAACAATTGGTTAAAAATGTAARGCAGGCTTTCAAAGCAGCTTGTAGCAGCGTGGGTACCAAGAACAGATGTTGGAGCTTGCCCTGTAGGGTTTGGTTCTTCACAGATGCTGGACTAATTTGGCACCTGATTTCCCAGGCTGGTGGTTTACACAGCAGCTGACAGCRTGCATGGTTGGGATGTCTGGAATGTGTTCGCTGTAGGATCAGGTAAACCCTGCTCCATATGACAAAGAGAAGTAGTTGCCAGAAGGCCCTTGGGGTGCGGATTACGGCTTTGAAAATGAACATTGTTTGTGTGCCCAGATCTGGGCAGCTCTGGCTGAGAAGCCTGTGGGCAGGCTGTGCAGAAAGCCGGGTTTGATTTCCATGAGCTGGTGGGGAACAGTGGCTTAAGAAGCAGAGTATGAGGATCACAGTGTGAAGTCCTTGTGGAGCTGGGACTGCTGTGCAAAAGCGTGTTTTCCCTTCCAGGTGGCTCAGAACCTGAATGAAAGTGGGATTTGTATTCCCAGGAGTTAAATGCCTGTAGCTGTCTGGTTTGAAGTTGAGGAGAGGAGTTAGAGCTGCTGACGGTGACAAATACCAAAGGACTGGAAGCGTTTCCCCGCTCTAATAACTCATGCTAATGCAACCCAAMACCTCCACCACTCAAAGTCAGGGGAGCTGCAGGCATCCCGGCTCTGAGAGCAGGGCAGCCATTCTTCACATTCCCCTCCAGCACTCAGAAAGGGTTGAAGTCTCCCAGGAGCCCCGTTTTTCCAGCCACAGCCTAACAGCCATATGTTTGAGCACTGCATAGCTGAGCTCTCAACTCTTGTGCTTTCTCTTTGCACCTTTTCTTTCACAGCAGGTTCAGAGTTTTCATAGCCTGTACCTTGTCAGAGCATCTGCCTTGGCTCCTGGGGGCTCTTGTGGAATCCCTCTTGCTCCCTGGCYGTGCTGTGTCCGGCAGGGTCATTGCCCTCTGACAGTGAAGCCAGCCTGCTGTTGGTCCTCCAGCCCTGCTCACCTGCCCTGCCATGGCTCAGAAACCTGCTTCCCATTCCCCCACTGCTGCTGTTTAGAGCCATTTACACATCCCCCCATTTGTACCCTGGCTGGGGACCCCTGGAAAACCCTTGCAGCCCTGCTCTTTAAAAGTCAAATTTAAAAGTTGATGTTCATGCAAAGGTATGAGCAAAACTCTGGTTCCAGAAGTCCTTCCCTGGGGTTATGTGAGAGCGTGGTTGTGGTTTCCYATCAGCCAAACCAGCTCTGATCTGCCTATGCACACACACGAAAAACAGGGAGCCATGCCTTGCCTGGGATGCTCTCAGGAGGGCTCTTGGACAATATGAGTGCAGGTAAATGATAGAAAATGATGGAAGGAACATTGGAGTGAACTTCTGTGAAACACTCCTGGGCTAAGCAGTGTGTCTGCACATCTGTCATGCTTTGTCCTTGTCAAACTATCAGCTACTCCTCTTCTTCCCCAAGTAAAACATCCACTGGTGAAAAAGATGGTAATCCCARGGATCTGTTGTTTGGTAAGCATCACACAGGACAAAGAGTCTCTGCTCCTCCAAAGTTTGTTTCTGGGGCTGAGAAGCTGAAAAAGAGCAGGTGAACATGAAAAGCAGCATGAGAAGAAAACCGCCAAGACAGCCCAGTGGAACAGGAGTAGCAGTAGTTATAGCAAACCTTTGAAATTTGGTCCCAATGCCCTGATAGAGCTTTACCCCTTGTTTTTCTGGTATTTGTGAACCGAATCCCAGGAGTTGCAGGCTTTTGCTCACTTCGTGTGTATCACTTCTTGTCTCACATTGCCAGCTGCAAATCACTTTTTCTGCTCTTCCCTGAAAAAAGAGGATTGCCATATTGTGTGGTTAGTGGTATTCCTGCCTCTCTTTTGCYTTTTTCCCATCCTTTTGTTCTCCAGCCACCGCCCAGTTCTGGCTATGAACTCTTTGGTCTCACGAAACATGTTCTTCCAGCAGCTTTTGTRGATGTTTTCTTTGGTACCTGCAGTCCCCCAGTGACAACTGCAGTTTGTGGGGGGCTTGAAACATCCTGGTGACCTCTCCTGGTACCACTTGAAGTAAATGAGGTTTGTGCTTGATTTTTGTAAGGGGCAGGATCCAAGCCAAATRTTTGTTTTCCAGGTGGAAGGACAACAAGAATCAACGCTGATCTCTCACCACCTTCCTTTTTCTTCCTCTTGGCAGGAATGGACRTACACATACAACCACCACATCCACCAGCAGCAGCTGTGTTTGTCCGTGTACACCCTCTTCCCTGGCTCCCAGGTGCTGCTGTCACCTTGTAAGGAAGGTGACAACAAGCAGGTGAGCCCTTTCACTGATGCCTCATTTGCTTTGAAGTTCCCTTTCTTTCATCACAGGATTACTGCACTAAATGGCCTGAGCTCTGAGTTCCTGTGGGAAGCACAGTCTGTTTGGGAGTGCACTCTCTGGCCTGTTCWGCCCTTTGCCTCCTAAATGAGTGTGTTGATAAGGATGTCTATTAGTGAGGGTGGTGATCTGGATACTTCAATGCAGAAGTCAAACCCAAACTGGCAATTTAGTTCACATGGGCTGCCAGTCAGGCAGCAGATGCTAACATTTCCCTGCRGTTAATCACTGAGCTGGCATTTGAACCAGCGACCTGGGGAAAAAGCTGTTAGTAATATATTCTCTTGCTGAAGCCAGGCAGAGGCCGAGTTAAATCAGTGTGCTTCTGATGGGAAGAATGCTCAGCTTGGTGTGTGCTCTGCTTGGTGTGGGTTTGGGGACCTGGTGCTTGCCATCATCAAGCCACAGGGCTCAGTGTCAGCTGTCCTCTTGTTGCTGGCACAGCGGAGTGAAAGCAGGATGGGGAGGAAGCTCGTTCACCTGTTTCTCCTGTCGTGCATGTCTCTCCTCAGCGCTGGGGCAAAGTTGGGTCACACCTGGAGCACATAGCTTCCCGCTTCTGTYTGGACACCGAGACCATCGGGGACACGAACGAAAGCATTAAAGAGCTCGTCATCAACCCCTGTGAGAGCACAGCCATGAGCCAGCGCTGGGACATGGTGATGTCGTGACTGCGGGAGGACGTGYGCGGCGGAGATGGGCACCGAGACGTGGCTTTGACAGCCGGGATGCCCCGGGTGGAGCTCAAATCCAAACCATTGGGGGTCCTGGGGTGCTGTGGGACAGGAGAAGAGTCATTCCAATAAAAATGGGGCACGGCACTCCGTGTTGATCACCATGGCATGGCGGATGCTGACTGCCAGACGTGCAGTGTGTATCGGCCTGGTGGTGGTCGAGGAGAAGGGATGGCAGAACAAGATGGAAATGTTTTAGAGGGATGCCCGGGCTCCTGCAGTGGGCTGCACAGAACTTCAGTGTGCACAGCATTGATTAATCTCCCTGAAAATGCAGGTAGAAGAGCCTTGAATACCTAAAGGAGACTTGGGCTGAGCAAAACAAGCATCTCAATAGCTTTTGGGGATTGAGGCGGGTGCACAAGGTGGGATGTGCCAAGGGATGCTAAGAAACATTGGGGAATGCACTGAGTTACCTCTTCTGCACTTTGCTGTGGATGTTTCTGCCTTCTGTGGAAGGCATGGTTGGAGCTGTGCTGCGCATGGAATCGGTACCTGATCCACGCCCGTGCTGAGTGTGCAGAGGCTGCAGCCAGGATGGAAACAGCGAGTGATGGGGGAGTCCTGCTCTGTGCCAGCTGCACGTGGGGTTTGTTGAATCTCCAAAGCCCGAGCAAACAGAGGATTCAGTGTGTGAGATTAAAGGATATAAACTCCTGTCAAGCTGGGAGGAACAGCAGTGACATGATTATTTCTCCTCTCTGAAGGCCGTGGGTTACTCAAAACTCCACTAAAATTTTGCTGTGTGTCTCTCACTGCTCTGCTTCAGATCTGGACTAAATCAAATTTTCACTTTTCTTCCATAAAAGTAATATTTTTGGTAATTGAAGGTAATTGTGTCATATTTTGTTTCCCAATTTCCAGACTACAGGGAAAGGGACTCCCATAAAATGCTGCTATTTAAGGAATGTTTAAGGTTTAATTTTTAGTTAGAGACTGTTCCAAGAAGGGAAAAGGGATCTTACCTGGGCTTGCTTCTGTGTTACCYGGTAGCCCAAGATGTGAAGTACTGAAGAAAAGGTTTGGGATTTCCCATTCACACCTGTGAGCAGGGAAGCCTGGGTCACAAAGGTACCTCTCTCTCAAAGTCACGTAGCATAGGCAGACCTGGCAGAAATGGTCTTTTCAGCTTTTGGAGAGAAGTTGTGTAGCAGAGGTCAGGTCAGGTCATGTCACTGTGGGAGTGAGGTGACTACCCAAGGAGAACAGGACAGATGATCTCAGAAGGGATCTTTGGAATAGAGGACTGGAAGGTCCTTTCCATCCTGTCTTTCAGGGCAGCTGCCTCTACAGCCACAGGGAACAGGCAGCGCATCACCAAGAGCTGTGCACGCAGCTCTCSTGTAGGAATGACTCTCAAAGACAACCTTCGCAGCACTGTCAACGTGACTTGAAAAAAACACATAGTTTGTGTTCTCTAAAAATGCTAGGATTTAGTGGAAATCCTATCCTTTGTTTCCTGTGCTGCAAGCTGCAGGTAAAATACCATAAGCTTTAAGCCTTCAAGTGCTCTCAGCATCCCTTCTTGAATAAATTGCKGGCTTTCAGGATTTTACTGCCTCAGTTTCTCCTCCCTCAGCTCTGGGAGAAAGCCACATGTGTAAATCTCCCCGGCTTTAGAAGCAGAACCAGTGCAGCTCTTTATGTACAAAAGGTCGCAGTGCAAAATGCTTTTCATGTGCTGCAGTGATTACTATCCTCATCAAGCTGCCTCGGTGCCAGCCTCAAGGGCTTCTGTTATGAAAGGGCTGGAGCAAGCTGTCACTTCATGGTGGGAGGTGGCATTGTTTCCATGCCACCACTCTGCTGGAAACAAAGGGGAGCACTTAGAATGGAATAGACCCCTTCCACAAAGGAGGGCAGTGACCCCGGGCTTCTTTTTAATTGAACAGGGAAAGTGCACCTCTACTTTTCACAATGGTGATGACAGGCAAGGGGTGGTAATACCCTGTCTAGTGTTTATGAGGGAAAGCAGTTCCCTGAGAGCTTAACACGTTCACACCTATACTGTGCCCACAGCTGGGGCTGCCCAGCACCTGGAAAATTCAAATTGCTGAACAACTTGGCATTGGTTTTGAATTTCAGCACCTGAGCAGGACCTCAGGCCTACCTAGCTTTACTGTTTCCCACCAAAGCTGAAAATCTCTGCTCTGCTGACAGCCAAAGTTCTGTAAACTGTTCTTTGCCTTAGCAGAAACAGCTACCTCTGTGCACACATATGTGTGCTTGAGCACATGGACCCGTGGGACCTGCAGGGATGTRTTCTAGGAAGGAGTTGTTTGACCAGCTTTTCATCTCTGTTGCCTTTTGGGAARCACAAATGCTGCAGCAAACCCCTCCTATTCCAAAACATGTACAAGTGAGCGTGGCTGGGGGCAGTGCAAGGCAAGCAGTGGAGAGGGAGATATCAGGTGTGATGTCCCCTACTTAGTCTCAGCTAAGTTCAGCTAAGTSTCTTGCAGGCCCAAAAGCCACCTCACAGACCTGGGGAGCAGCAGCACTTGTCAGACTGTTGATTTTGTCTSACACAGCCATCCGCTGTAACCCTTAGGCTACAGCTTATTTCATGGTCTGGGAAATGAGATTATCCCTACGGATCAGCAATGTTTTCGGAGAAGCCTGAGAATATCAGCCTGACTCCTGGGGAGCTTTATATAAAGCTGGCAATGGTCTGGCAGTCTCCAGAGTTAGCCCCAATATGGCATTTAGCAAATCTGCTTAACACCCCTGCAGAGAGAGCTCGCATCGTGTCAGGGAAAAGGTTAACTGCTGCTGAAATCCAGCTCGTACCTTCAGGTTTGTTTCATTTATTAAAATAACACTGAGAACAGATGAACCTTTTTTGCTTTGTGTTTTTTCAATGCCTGGACGAATTATTATCATGCTGTRAACAGGTACAATGTGACTGATTGGTATCTGGATGGGCTCCCATGCCAATGCTTCTTAAGCCCCAACGTCATTTGGGAGTAATGCTTTTTGGTAACATTTTGCACTGACTTGAAAGAACGTAAGATAAAGTAGAAAATATTATTCTAATCCTGGCTGTTGGGCTTTGTGACAGCCTTTATGATCTCCAGGTAAGTCACTTCTTGTGCCTTGGGAAAATTRGATTCAGAGCAGGAAACTCAAGGCTGGAATTTCTGCTGGCTTTTAAAGAGACAACTAAGGCTATCAAAAAACTGCACCCTAAAACCCAAAAAACACCAGCAAAATCAAAAAAGCATTTCCCCTCYCTCATCATATTCCAGTGAGAGGAAATCCATCTGGTTTTAGTTGGACTGGAGAAGTCTCACAGTCCCTCTGTTGYTGTTTATGTGATTTCCAGGTGTTTTGTGCTCATCTTCTCTCCAGTGCAGTACCATAAGGTAACCACACAAACCATCAGTGCTTGGAGCCTCAGGTTAGAGCAGGGTGAGGTAGTGATTTAGTGGTGAAGGGGTGGAAGCTGGATTCAAAGATCTTTGATAATCCAGCAGTGCAGTAGTGAAATGGGGCTGGTGGGTGAAGGCTGGAGAGCTCGTGGTGGTTCAAGACAAGCACAGCCCTGAGTGCTAATCCCTTCTTCTGCTTCTAGGAGTGGCTTGGGATARCTTCCTTCATTTCCCTGCCGCTGTTTCCCAAACTTTTAGTGAAGACTGAACGTTTTGAACAGAGAGAAAAAGCCAAGGATTAGTTTTTGTTGCATGTAATGCCAGCAGTGCATGCTGGAAGTCTCCATGGACCTTTTTATCTGCCTGTACAGATCTGGTTGAGATGGAGTTAATTTTCTTCATAACAGCCTGTAAGGTTTTGACTGCTGAAACCGTATTGATAACATGAAATAGTGTTTTAGTTCCTGCTGTGCCTGCACAGTGTGAAGGCCTCCAGCTCTCATTYTGARTAGGCTGGGGCTGGGGRAGAGGTTTGGGARGGGACACAGCTGGGAAAGCTCCCCCAAGCTGACCAAAGACACATCTCATAATGAATAATCTGGCGCTCAGCAGGAAAACGGGGGAGTTTTGCCAAAGGAGGTGTTGCTTAGGGACTTGTCTGGGCATCAGTCTGCAGTTGGGTGGTTTTGGGTTTGTTTTCTTTCAGTTTCCTTTACTTACTAGACTGTCTTTATCTTGACTTGCAAGTTTTTCTCACTTTTGAGCTTCGGATTCTTTTCTCTGTCCAGTTGGGCAGGAAGGGAGGGAGGGGGTGAGTTTGGGTGAGAGTGAGTGAGTGAGTGAGTGAGTGAGTGAGTGAGTGAGTGAGTGAGTGAGTGAGTGAGTGAGTGAGTGAGTGAGTGAGTGAAAAAGCTGGGGGCTAGCATTGTTTCTAGAAGGGGTAAAGGAAGCAAAGTCAAGCAGCTGTCACACAAGTAGCAGAAGAAACTTCTGCTGCTGATTAATGTTCTGGCCAAATTAATTCTGAATGATCAGTCCAGCACCGGGTTTGATGTGCAGATGCTTTAGATGGCTGAAGAGTTCAAGGAAGCCTAGTGCAGGTGTCCAGCTTATGTTGAGACTTACATGCTGCAATCCGGAGGCATTTTTCCAGATTTATGGATGTTTTCCCAGTGTCCACTGTTCTGTTCTCASTGGAAGTGCCTTCAGAACCCTGTAAGAATAAAAACCTGTTGCAAGCTACTGCCTCTCCAAATGAGTCTATTTGAATTTTGACTGAAGCTGCATTTTAGCTCAGAGCTGACAAAAAGCAASTCATAAATTTACAGGTAAGAATGCTCATTTGTGGTGTTGGGGGCTGCTTTGTTTTCTCTGGTATTGCTTGGGCACTAAAGAAATCTAAACTGGTTGTGTGTTATGTACAAAAGAAATCATGACTGGGTTTCAGGGTTGGGTTTTGCATAAGAACACATCTAGTAATTATCTATCAACTGTCCACGGCAATGAGTGATGTCTCATTTTCCTGGGACTCATGGGAAAGAAGTGTCCAAACAAGGTATTGCTACTATGAGGTATTTAAGAGGGTTAAACTCTTGTAAAACCAACCAATCATCCAACCAACCAAGGTGGGAAAAGGAGAAGGAGCCCTGAAAGCTGGTGTGTAGCCTGATATATGTAATAAAAGGAATATATTGCAACATTAGGACTGTTCCCAGGGTGAAAGGAGTGGGAATCTGCAAGTCAGTAGAAATGTGTTTGGGGTTATTTTTAGGAACCCCAGTGACTTAGAGATACCCCACGGGGACAGGTTTATAACAGAGCACCTCAACGAAGTCCCACACCCCCAGTCTGCAGTTTTCTGAAAGAGCACAAACCTCTGCAGTGCTCCTGGGGCCCTTCAGAGCAGCCCTGCCTGTGTCAGGTGTTAAAACATGCGTTGTGTTACCCCAGCTTTGGAGCAACTGAGCCTGTTCCAATGGAGATCAGCATCCTGCTGCTGAAATGGTGTTCTTGCATTGGAAATGTTTTCAGAAGAGTCGGTGTTGGAAGTACTTTGAGCAGTTTTCATGAATTCTGATCCTGCTGGCAGTTCCTGGATCATCCCTATGGACATTCAGCCTRTGGTGTGTAGCAGAGATGATTATTTTCTCTACATGCAGAATCAGACCCAAAGTCTACAGGTAGCCACAACCARATCCAAGAGTATTACTAACATTAGCTCTGACCCTCTTGGCCTAAGCCCACAATTTAGATGGCTGTTACAGATTTTCCTGGACTCCAGCTGCCAGGCCACTGACAAGAAGGACGTGCAGCAATGATCATCTGGCCAGAAGCAAAAGAACATGTATTGGGAGAGAGTGCTCCTAATCCCCACCCTGAGGCTGCTGTCACCTCCTTCCTGAYCCTTGGGAAGCTGACCTGGGGTTGGCTGTGCACAAGGCAAGGTGAAAGGAAGTTTTCCTGGAGGTTTGGTGGGTTCCCAAGATGTGCAGTGAGATGTGCAGGTGTGAGGGTGGGCAGTAACCAAGGACAATTGGAATGGTTTGAGCATGGAAACMCCTGCACCCAGGGGTGCAGAGAGCCTGGGTGGGTCTCACATCAGCACCCTGCACTTTGAGGGGAGTTTGTTTTGACTGAAAACTGATTCAGTACTTGAAATGGCTACCCCAGAACGCTGTGGGGGTTGAAAGAAACTTGCTTACCCGATCACAGCATACTTTCACTTTTGCTAATGGAATTGTTAGAGTGGCAATGGATTGTTCAGTGCCCTGGGTGCGAAATCCTGGTTTGGACAGGGCACATGTGTTGGTAACAGGCACTGCTTGCCCTGTCTGCATCTGTGCCCTGTCAGACACTTGGTGTGTTAGCAACGGAGCCTCAGCTTGAAGCATCGCAGTCATTGCATCTCGAAATTGATTTTCTTCTACGGAAAGCTGTTTGAAGCAAAAACCAATTTGGTTTGTATAAACTGCATTAGAGATAAGAAGATATCCCTCAGAGTGCGCCAGATCACCTTTGAACACATTTTCACCCTACCGCGAGTAACAAGTCACACAATAAAAAGAATTTCTTACAGCTGATCTGATCTCTACCCATCCGTGAGCTGGCTCTGAAATGAGATAAACCCGTCTCCTCTAATTCAGGACAGGTGTATCATATTTCCCAATCATATTGCAGAGWCTGGGGAGTCCTGCTGGTTAACACAGCATAGAACCAGGGCCGGTGAGGCAGCTTTATCTGCTTTGAGGGACTGGCCTTGTAATTAAGATGCTAAATTGCTCCTGCTGATCTGGAGCTGATGTGGATGATCTGGAGCTGATGTGGATGATCTGGAGCTGATGTGGATGATCTGGAGCTGATATGGAAGCCAATCTGTGAGATTCTACCTGTGCTGCTACCCAGTAAGTGGTGGCTCTGGAGGGTCACCTGTATGGTTTTCTTTCCTTTTCTGGATAGATTTAATGTCTTGTATGTTCTCTACCWCTGATTTTATCCTTCCAGTCTGGTCCTCAGTGCCTGTTTTTTAGGTAATGGCAGCCAACCTACAGAAAGAGCAAAACAGAAAGTATGTTTTTAAGGGAAAAACAGTGAGGGAAATAAATAAACACAGCAAACCCACCACCTTTTTCCTCCCTCCCTTCTCCCAATCTCTTGGTCTCCTCTTATAGGTTTTCCTGATGTGTACTGGCATCTAATTTTTAGGATATCTAAGAGGTATCAGGGCTTGGGATACTACTGTGCAATTGGAGACACAGATAAATTTGCAGACAGCTCTGGGCTGGGGCCATCCCCTCTGTTCCCTTAGCACAACATTGTCAGCTCCAGTTCTAAGGCTGGCTAGGTTTTGTGGGTCCTGTGTTGCCATTTTCCCTTGGCACAAGGGTCAGGTTGGCTCAGGAACACGGAGGAGTTTCCCCAAACAGGAGCAGAAGGGAAGAAGGCTTGGCTGGCCAGGCTTGGGGCAGTCTCTGGTTGTTTTGCAGGGAGCAGGGTGACATCCACAGCTTGTGGCCTTTGATGGCAGAAAGCAAATCCTCTGCCAGCCTCAGCACAGCCAGGGGACCACAGGTACCTCTGGTGGGACCAARGGTAAATCCAGGTCTGCAGGCAGCCACCAGGAGCTCCTTCCTTGGAGGCTGCTCTTTCTAAGACCTGGCTGCCTGGTGCATCCTGCGGTTGTTGGCATCTTATCACCTAATTTTAAATTACTCAAGCCCTTATCAGTGCATGGGACCAAAGGGTGTTAGTGGGCATAATGACAAGGAAGGTTTTATGAACCACTTCATGAAGCYAAATCCTCAGGAGCTACTGAGGCTGTAATTAGATTTGAGGTTAATAAGATTTTTTTCTTTCTCCCTTTTTTTTTTTTTCCCCCTCTCTTTCTTTCTGGTAGCAAATCAAGGAAAAAATTGGAGCTCTCAGTTCATTCTTGTGTATTCAGAGTGTGGCTGCAGGCTCTACTCAGTAAMACAAAGGGATTACAACTTGATATCAAGCAGCCTGGGAGAAGTGTGAGCATGAAAGTACAGCGGTGTTTTGCTGTAGACCATGTGGATCCCTTATGGATGTGTCTGGAAAGGCCTCCCCAGCCTTTGGAGCGATTAATAATGAAATCAACTAATAACAAGATGTGCAACGTGAAGAGAGAACTGGCCGGTGTTTTGTTACGGGGAGAAAATGAGCCAAGCAGCAGGGGACACGCTGATCGTGTCTGATTCATGTCGTCTCTGTAATCTCAGCTAAAGTTTTAACGGCCTGGGAAGATGAATTACCCACTCTAACCAACACAGGGATCAGCATGGGGTTTATTAGAAGCAGGCTATCATTTAACAATGTCAGGAGGGTATTTATTATTAAGCAGTAGACTCCACAGTCTAAATGGAAAACCATCACTCCTCCTTAGACACCAAACAAGGTATGTTCATAAAGCCAAATGGCCGATATATTGTGTTGCCTGAACACAAATACATG